AAAACAGCTGTTTTACATTGTAATAATATTTCACAATTTTACAGTATTTTAGATCAAATCAATTCAGCCTTGGTGAGCAGAAGAGAGACTCTTTCAAAAACATTAAAAAATCTTACCAATCCCAAGCTTTTGACCGGTAGTGTATATTTTTGCCCATTTCAGTGTAAAACTTACAGTATATAGTGCAATTCATAAATTGTCTTTGTATCGTATGATTCAAGGGTAAATTGACCATGCAATGTTGATGTATACGACGAGACATATCTGATTTATTTCCCACGTATGAAAGTGTGATTTTTACATATGCTGTTTATCTGTTCACAGGGGGTTATAACGTCAATGACGTGATGTTTTACTGGGCGCGTGGGAACGACTCTGTGAGCGGTTTGGACACGCTGAGACTGGCTCAGTACACCATAGAGGATCATTACACCTCAGAATCCGAGGCCGTATATGAGACGGGTACACAAGACCACAAACACACCACAGTCACACATCTAACGTCTGTGGAGCAGCTTATTAAACAACGCCAGATAATAACACCTGCTTCATCAGAAATGACACTGAAGTGGCCATGTTTCTTGTTTACGGCAGATTATTGCTTTGTGAGTTCAGCAGTGACTCCAGAACAATAATTTGCTCTCATATTTCAAAATGACCATCATTCCTCTTATTTTAAGAGTGGCATAGGCTATGTACACACTGCAGCTGAATTTGGGTGTAAATTCAGCTTTTAGTGCTTAATCCTGTTTAGGGTTGCAAAGGGGTGGAAAATATCCGGTAAATTTCCGGAAACTTTCCATAAATCCCTGGAAGATTCCAAAAACTCCTGGAATGTTTCCGAAATGTACTGGACATTTTCCACCTTTTTGCAACCCTATTCCTGTTCTGTAAACACAGTTCAGTAATTTAAAGGAGTGACAAACGCATTCTGCAATCAACTTGACTCCTGAAAAATGCAGGCAGTGAGAACAACGTTTACAGAAATTCTATACAGTGTGTACGGAACCGAACTGAACAACTAGTTGTTAATGGCGTATTTAAACATGTATCAGAGTTGTGTGTTTTCTGTCACAGAGTACGTTTTGACTTATTAATGTTGCCAGATCTTGCTAGAAAAGAACAGCAAGTAAGAACAAGCCCATAATAAACTCAAATCCAGATGCTTGGAAATAAGTCACATACCAAAATATCGCGACCTGCACCTGCCTACTTTATTGACTCTAAGCTGGATCGCTTATTGAGCCAAGCTCAAACAATAAGCCCAAAGATGCTTAATAAGCGTCGCTTATAATAAGTGGACATGTCAACCACTCAAGAGCACACTCTACAAAGTAGCCTTTCAAACCTAAACAAATATGTGACCCTGGACCACAAAACCAGTCTTAAGTGTAAATTTTTTCAAAATTGAGATTTATACATCATCTGAAAGCTGGATAAATAATCTTTCCATTGATGTATGGTTTGTTAGGATAGGACAATATTTGGCTGAGATACAACTATTTGAAAATCTGGAATCTGAGGGTGCAAAAAAAAATCTAAATATTGAGAAAATCACCTTTAAAGTTGTCCAAATGAAGTTCTTAGCAATGCATATTACTAATAAAAAATTAAGTTTTGATATATTTACGGTAGGAAATTGACATAATATCTTCATGGAACATGATCTTTACTTAATCCTAATGATTTTTGGCATAAAAGAAAAATCAATAATTTTGACCCATACAGTGTATTGTTGGCTATTGCTACAAATATACCCCAGCGACTTAAGACTGCTTTTGTGCTGCAGGGACACATTTGACTCCTCTGTCAACAGTGGTTTAGTTAAAATCGGTGAACATAATAAGTCTTTGGTTGCTGTATTATTACTTTGGTTGAAATAGCGGATACCAAAACATTGCTATGGTGTCAATCATCGCAGTTACGAGAGTGAGTTCTGTTCCATACACACATAAACCTGCAATGATAATGATATGGTTGGCACTCCTGAAACTTTACAGTGTGTACAAACCACTCCAATAACTTCTTAATCTCTGATTTATTGATGGTCTTGAAGATTTTTACTTGGGACGGACAGCATTAGCATTTCACATCACTACTTTGAATCTCTTCCCAGGAAATTATCCCAAGCTGATTTTTCATTTCGAGCTGAAGAGGAGTATCCTGTACTTCATCCTGGAGACGTACGTGCCATCCAGCCTGCTGGTGGTGCTGTCCTGGGTCTCTTTCTGGATCAGCCAGTCATCCGTCCCCGCTCGCATCTGCATAGGTACGGTGATGCGTTTCATTGGCTGTGCAATTTATATTTAAGAAAAATTAAATATGTTGAGATAGGCTCAAACTATTCCACTAGAATGTTACACTGAAGAAAGATGTGTAGATAAAACATAATGTAGGTCCTTATACTAATACATTTTATATGGTGATTGATTGGATACAATAAAACAAAGATTATTGGTTTTAAAATAAAATACTATTTCAGGCTTCATGTTCATCACATTCAATGTGCTACTTGCCAGTAACATTTACTGACCATTTCAGAGTGAAAATTGTTTCATAGTAAATCTACACCATTTTTTTCAGTGTAGTAGCCACACAGAACATACTTAGTAACCACACATACAATATAATAACAGCAAAAGCTAATTGTGTTATGACTCATAAACACTCAACAGTTCAGAACTAGGGTTGCAACAAACGATTATTTTGATACTCGATTAATCTAACGATTATTAGAACGATTAATCGATAAATCTTCAATTAATTAATCAGTAGACTTTGATTTTTCAGCTTTTGCAATTAGTTAAAATATTGAGTTATACATATTCTAACAAATAAATAAAGGTAATCACTTCAGCTTTTGAAAATCATATTATGTAATTACAATTATTATATAATTAATTTATACAAATAAATATATTTGGCACACAAAATGAGATGACAGACAGAGAAACTCTCTTATTCACCATTTAATTAGCTTTATGAAAAGTAACTGAATGACACATCATTCTGCCTAACATCTCCTTTTGTAAGTCATCTGGATAAGAAACAAAATAATGTTAAGTGATAAGACGTTTTATTTTTGGATAAACTGTTTTATTCACAACATAATCTCTCTTAAAATACCTTACAGGGTTATGATAATCAAAACAGTCCTGAGCTAGATCAAGCTTTGATCTCTGCAAACCAAACTATATTTTTAATTAAAAAAAAAAAATTTTCCCCACTAATAAAAAGATTTTATCATTAGCTAGCTCCACACTGGAGAGCTGCTTTATAACAGAAAATCAAGTTGTAATTCTAACTGAAAGCGACACTGACTCTGGTTTTTCATGTTTAAAACTGTAAAGCTGCTTGATTTAAGGCTATCTATTGCATAAAGTACTATACAAATAAACATGACTGGACGTGACTGGACTTTACTGGAGTACTGAACTGCAGAGCTCGTGCAAACATCCACATCGCTGTAATCAGATGTGTTTTTAACTGCTGCTTTCACACCGCTGTCAGTTTTTGTTGTGTGTATTTCGTTATTGAGAGGAAAGCATGCAGCATATATTTACATATTCATACAAATGCCACTCGGCAGCTTCAGGTTCAGCTGAGTTTGCTCTGAAGTGCTGTCTTCTCTTGAATTGCATCCAGGAGGGCTGAATTACAGTTTTGGGCTACAGCGCCACACTGGTCAAACCACATTATTGCAGGCTCTTTCATTAGGTCATATGTATGGAAGCCCGTTTCCGCCACTGAATACAAAATTTTAAAAAGGTTATTGCGACTTTTTATCTTACAATTCTGCATTTTTTTTCACAGAATTGTGAGATATAAACTCGCAATTGCGAGTTATAAAGTCAGAATTGCGAGATATAAAGTCAGAATTGCGAGTTATAAAGTCAGAATTGCGAGGCATAAACTAACAATTCTGACTTTTTTTCTCACAATTCTGACTTTATAGCACGCAATTGCGAGGTAAAGTCCAATTTTTAGGGGGGGGGGGGGTGACTAATCACGCAATTCTGACTTTATATCACGCAATTATGAGAAAAAAAGTCAGAATTGCGAGTTTGTATCATGCAATTATGAGAAAATAAGTCAGAATTACGAGATAAAAAGTCGCAATTACCTTTTTTATTTTTTTATTCAGTGGCGGAAACGGGCTTCCATACATATGAGATCAAACCATTACTCGACAAATATATTTGTCGACTATTTTTTTTATTGTTGATAATGTCGACTAATCATTTCAGCCCTATTCATAACCAGGCAGACAAGCGTCTCAGCTGACTCCGTGTGTCTTATTGGTGCGTGTTACAGGCGTGACGACTGTCCTGACGATGACCACACTGATGATGGGTGCGCGGACATCTCTGCCCAATGCCAACTGCTTCATCAAGGCCATCGACGTGTACCTGGGCATCTGCTTCAGCTTCATCTTTGGAGCGCTGATAGAGTACGCCGTGGCCCACTTCTGCACACTAAACCACCCCGACTGCAACAACGCGCTTATGGTAAGAGAGGAACATCATCATCATCATCATCATCATCATAGTGTGTTCATCATCGTCTGTGCTGTTTTCTAAGGTAAGCATCATTATTGCTCATACTTTACTTTGAGTCTTAAAGGGATAGCTCACCCAAAAATGAAACTTCACTGACTTTACTGTCCCTCGGACTATACAAGATGTAGGTGACTTTTTTTCTTCAATAGAACAATAAAGAAGATTTTTAGCTGAAACCATGGGCCTTGGTGATTCAGAAAATGCAAGTCTTTGGCTGCCCATCCTTGAGAATAAAAAAGCATTTCAAGAAATGCAAAATGAATCCCAGTGCCTCCTGACGATATATTGAGGTCTTATGAAGCAAAACGATCAGTCTTTGCAAGAAACTGATCATTATTTATATCATTATTACTAGAGCCGGCCGATATATCGTTTTGCCGATATTATCGGCCGATATGAGCCTGTCGCCGATATATCGGTATCGGCGAATATGCCGCCGATATGAAAATATTTTTTACAGAACATATAATGCAGATAAAAATCGGCCCCAAAAAACCCATATCGGTCGGGCTCTAATTATTACCAGTAATCCAGAGCCTCAGGCAAACGCTAAAATCTGATTCTTTTCCTCGAACTGATTCTTTCAGAGTTCGTTTCAATGAATTCACTAATTTGTTTACATAATCATGCAATGACGTCATGTATGCGTTATTATATTATTAAAGCACCCAATTGTGATGTGAAACTCAGTTGTTCTACATGTCTAAAGCATATAAAGTGAATAAACTTGTCTTCGTCAGCTCACATTTTTACGTAAATAATGAGAAACCATAAAACTTTTATTTGGCCCCTTCATTTAAGTGTTCGGTTCACACATGCTCATATCAGCGGCTCATCGGTTCAACTAGTTCACTAAAAATAATCAGTTCAAAAGAATGATTCGTTCATGAACCGGGCATCACTCCAGACACACGATTGCCTCTCTGGATTACAGATAATAATGCTGTAAATAATTTTCAGTTTCTTGCACAGACAAATCATTTCTTTTTATACGACCTTAATATATGGTCAGGAGCCACGGGGATTCATTTTGTGTTAATTCTATTCTCAAAGATGGTCAGCCACTAACTTGCATTTTTTTTAATCACCAAGGACCACGGTTTCAGCTAAAAATCTTCTTTACTGTTCTACTGTAGAAAAAAGTCACTTACATCTTGGATAAAGTAATAAGTAAATTAACAGCAAATTTAAATTTTTGGAAAACTATCCCTTTAATGTGACATTTGCATGGGTAAGAACCACTCACAAATTATTAAAATGTAAATTATAGTCATTATTGTTATTGTCATCATCATCATCATCATCGTGATCATTTATTGTTGACATCATCTCATCACACTTTTGGTCTTATTGATTTTCATGTTGAATTTCATTGCTCATTTTCTCTCGTCTCTGTGTTTCTTTCTGTCAGTACGGTCATCACATGCACGAGTGCAAGGAGGAGATGAATGGCATCGTCACCACCATCGCCAGCAATTCTTCACGGATAAAGCGGCGCAAAGACGCTCCGGCAGCCACGCCCACCGTCGGCGGAGAGCCTGGCCTCGCACCCTCCAGCCCGACCACCAGCGAACCCAAGACTGCCGAGGCCCCAGCAGAGCTCTTTAGCCGCTGTGCCAAAAATATCTCCGTCCTGAGGAAGATCCTGAGATCCATTAACTGCTGTCATGTGGAAAACCCACATTATATAGACAACTACTCACGGTTAACCTTCCCACTGTCGTTCATCATCGTTAATCTGCTCTACTGGACCTACTACCTGTACTTTTAACCAGCACATCATGTTGAATAATTTCTGTGTGTTAGTAAGTACGATAGAGTGTGTCTGAAATACCAGTAGAGACTCAACAGAGAAGGAGAATTATTAGGGTTGCACCGATATTACATTTCTCAGCCAATACCTGTAGCCGATTATGGAGAATTATGTTTGCCAACACCGATAGCTGATTATTCAGAATGATATCTGCCGATACCAATAGTGATTATTCAGAATAATATCTGCCAATACCAATAGTGATTATTCAGAATAATATCTGACGATACCGATAGTGATTATTCAGAATGATATCTGCCGATACCAATAGTGATTATTCAGAATAGTATCTGCCGATACCGATAGTGATTATTCAGAATAATATCTGCCGATACCGATAGTGTTTATTCAGAATAATATCTGCCGATACCAATAGTGATTATTCAGAATGATATCTACCGATACCGATAGTGATTTTTCAGAATGATATCTGCCGATACCAATAGTGATTATTCAGAATAATATCTGCCGATACCGATAGTGATTATTCAGAATGATATCTACCGATACCGATAGTGATTTTTCAGATCAGAATAATATCTGCCGATAACGATTGCCAGTTATTCATAATGATATCTGTCGATACCGATAGCCAATCATTCAGAATGATATGTGCCGATACGATTATTCAGATTATCTGCCGATACCAATAGCAGATTATTCACAATGATATCTACCGATACGATTATTCAGAATGATATCTGCTAATACTATAGATCTATAATTATCATTTGTGCTATAATCTCCATTACTACTGTTACCATAGCACTTACAATGGCAGTAAACAGAGCAGCACGTAAAAGCAGAAATGTCAACTTTTTGAATTATTCAGTAAATCCCTGTTATTGTCATTCTTGCAGTGGATTACTTTTCTAGGTGGATAAAACTAGGAACATAATTCCTGTGAGTCGCTTTTTCTGCATGGAAAATGTTCTGTCTGTTTATTGTGTGAAATTTGGAGTGTTTACCATCTTTAATGTGCTACAGATGCTGTTGACAGAGATTAACTTGCATTGAACACAACCTGTAAAATAGTGAGGAGAAATAGTTCAGTATCCATATTGTCCCATATGCATCTCACTGACAGGTTTGGCGTTTGTTGTGGCTGATGGTGGATGTTTGACCCTGGATCTCGACAGTGGTTCCCATGATTAAATCCTCTGAATAACTAAAGATAAATTGAGGAAAATGCATGTGAATTTTAGCATCAGATTACTGGAAATAGATATTAAAACTTTTCCATTGAAATCATTTTGGCTGTGGGCTATTAGATAATATTAATCTTAACCAGTAGTCAAGTAACTAGTCATTGGTTTAGACTGCTGTTGTAGCTAATGCAGCCTTTCTGAAATATTGGCCATAATTAACAGAGTCGTTTAATGCTGGTAAATGTTAATGTAATAGAGGTTATAGCAATAATAGCAAATAATGATGGATTTGATAAAGAAGCACCATCGTTGGGACTTTGTTGACTTTAACATCCCCAAATCACTAGGTTTTATCACAAGAGAAAAAAATGAGGAGAAATGTACTATTTGAAGGCGTGTGAATGTGATTGTTAGAAACTGTCAGTTTTCACATCTTTTATGTGCATTTGTGCGTGTGAGTGTTCATCATCATTGGCTGGGAGTCGTTGAAACAGTACAATGCAGTAAAATATTATCAGAAAGGGCCTAACAAGTTGATATCCTAAAGGTGTAGTTCGTTCAAAGAGGAAAACAATGTTGTTTACTCACCCTCACGTCCACTGAAAACCTGTATGACTGTTCGAATCTCACTTCCATTTGCAGTCAATTCAAATATGACAGCAGGTTTTACATAATCTGTCTCGTCCTTGACGTTAGGGCTGAAGTGATTGGATGATATTATCGACAACATCAACAGTAAAATATTTTTGTTGGGGAATAGTGTTTGATCTCATGACCTAATATAAGGGCCTGTAGTAGTGTGGCACTGTAGTTCATCAGTCCAACAGATGAAGACACGCTTATGAGACATGCGATCGAAATGGAACCAGTCGAGTGTGGAAATGTTTTACAAAACTGCAAACAAAAAATGCTGTCATGTGTAAAGGCCCCAAGTTCTTCTGCATTCTTCACTTAGGTGTAAAAATACATTTTATATACACAAGCAGTACTTTATTGTTAGCTGAGAGCGGCGTTTAGATGAATATGTAAATATATGCTGTGTATTTCCTTTCAATAACAACATAAACAGCAAAAATGACAGCCATGAGAAAACAGCGGTTAAGAAAGCATCTGATTGTAGTGCACGTTTATTGTTTATTTGTTGCCTTTATTTATGACACTTACAATAGACTGCTTTAAAGCAAGCAGCTTTACAGTATTAAACATGAAAAAACAGTGTCAGTGTTGCTTTCAGTTACAATTACAACTTGATTTTCTGCTATCAAGCAGCTCTATATGTATATTAATATGTACAGTAAAACTCAATATTTTAGTGAATAATCGATCAAAGGCTACTGATTAATCGGTGAAATAATCAATGATTAGTCGTAATAATCATTAGATTTATCAAGTATCAAAATAAGTGTGTGTTGCAGCCCTAGTTGACATTTAATCAGGCACAACACGTCATATTTGAATTGTACACAAGTGTGAATGAGATTCGAGAGCTGCTGGATACATGAGGCTAGTAAATAGTGATTTTTAGGTGAACTATCCCTTTAAGCACACCGACTGCTCTTCTTTAGTCCATCACAGTCTGTTTTCCTTCACTCGTGTCTGTGTTTTCCACACTGTAATGCCTCTAACGTGTCTTCCTCGCATATCTGTGCTTCTCGAGTTTGAGTTACGGTGTTGAGGGCAGACAGAAGCTATCGCTCCCCATTTATTGCTTCCATAAATCCTCCGGCCTCGGCCGCTTTCTTGCACATTACGGGATCGGTGGATCGCAGGGGCCGTGTAAACTCTTTATGCGACTTGGCTTTAATGATTCAGAGGTGTTTGTGGACTCTATACGGGATGGATACGGACCGGACCAAAGGCCACGGACTTGCATGTGGCGACTGATGCTAAACTATCTGGAATACATTGAATTTCTTTGGGACGTGCATCTGCGATTTAAAGCTCTAGTGGAATGGATTACAGCCCATGCTAAACTGGATTGAACACTTTGGGTTATGGTTTTAACTATAGTATTAAACTGATATATTATATGAAATTACGCTTTTGTTTAAAACGGGTGAAATAAGCACAGGCAGTGGCACACTATTGCCCCCTTCTGACATGATCCAGATCTCTTTTCTAAGCTGTGAATGCTCATCTTTTATTTGCAATTGGGTTTTTATTAGTGTTTGATGTCGTAATGATCAGATGAATGGATGGATTTTCCTTTCTGGACCTCGTTTAGGTTACTTTTTTTCATTTGGGATTGTTGATGCTCTCAAATGGATCTGCTATTTTTGTAACTTTTAATTGGCTTCATTTAGATGTTTTGAGCATTTGCCGTCGGCATGCAGTCGGATCCTTAATTTCACGTCGAATGCCTTCCGTTCAGAATTTAAAACTACAAAGTGCTTGATTTTCAATTTAATGCATGTTTCTTTACCACTTTAAGGTACTATTTAGTGTAATAATACATTAATATTGACATGTAACTTTATATTTATGGAACTTCTTGGTGTTTATTCTAAGGTTGTTTTTAATTCGCCAAGTTGAGAATTAATGCAATAACTTGTCATTTACTGTATATGCATATCAGGCTTATTGCCATTAGCTAAAACTAAAACCATTTAAAAAAATAAAATAAAAATCAGTACTTGAAATAAACGGTAAAATAAAAAAATAAAAAGTTTATTGCAGCTAAAAACATTTCTCATTTTCATTTAGTGTGACTCGATGTCCTAAAATAACTAAAATAAAAATAAAATGTAATAAAAAAAACTGTATAGACATTAAAAAAACAATACAATGATTAAAAATCAATAAAATGACTAAACCTTTAGCTAAAATGAAAATGAAAAATATAAAAACAAATTCTGAATATTATTAAAAATATAATAGTATCTCATTGATACTAAAATAACACTGATGCATATTCTGAATTAATAGATCACATTTTTCTTTAATGATTCCCATTGTATGACACGTCAATTTAGATTTTATTAGCATCCCTGTAAGGTTTAATTATATTTACTCCAATATTAGAAAGCAGCTTAACACGCTCCATGTGAAATCTTCATGCATTGCTAATAAATAATCTCTGTTCCAGTGAATAGGACGATGAGAGGATGATGATGACAGTGCCAAACATGTAAGCCAAAGATTTCATATGTCTAGAAATCCTCCTAAAACAGACCACAATTACCTGATCAATAACCTGTTTGTTTAGCTCTTCTATTACAATTCTAACCTGCAAACTGACCCGTGTTTGATGGCAAGGCTGTCTATGTCTTGGGGTACTTTCCCGTTATTTATATAGTTCCCTTACTTTCCCCTTAATGCATGTAGTTCCATCATCGTCATGTTATCAATCATAAAGACACCCCAGTGAATTTCAGACGCTGTTTTCAGGCTGATCTCACAGATCCAGACTGTTTATGTTGGTTTCTGAAGCTCTCGAGCATCCTGATTGTGAATATGTGTGTATAATGTAACATGTGCATATAGATGATGGAGGGCAATTAAAGAACAACTGTAAATATTGCATGTTTACTTGATGTTCACTTACTGTAAGCTTATACTAATAATGACACTAACAATAATAATTCAAATAAAAAAGACATAAATGTGAGAGTCTGTGAGTGATATTTTCCTTCCCGGCTCAAAGTGTGGCTCAATAATGGATGGAAATTGCGCATACAATAAATCATTAAAGAACATAAATCTCTGTGTCACAGTCAGAAGAAGATCATGACAGCGCTATAATAAACTCGTCATCATAATTTAACGAGTATACGCTAACAAAACCCAAGAACAGAAAGAAAATGCAACAGTCTGTTTTGTGTCAACCAGGCCACAGTGGCTCTATTCAGATGAATATTAAAACCCTAAAACAACTAGAAAACTATTTTGTGTGTCAGTCAAAGAATGTTTGTACTTTGTATAAATATACATGAACACGACAAATTATTTGAGTGTTTGTTCAGAGTGCCTCTGGCTATTATTCATTTGCTTTCAAGCTTGAAGTAGGCAACAGTTTATCGTGTGATTCTGATATTAATTTTCTCAAGACTTTGTTTGTGATTTCAGCATTGCATTACAGTTTCATGGCGGTATATGCAGCTGGCCTACGGCTTGACCCCTCTGACCTCTTCAGGAACGGTAAGGTCAAAGGTCAGGAACTGGCTCACAAGCACCTGCTGGAAGATGCTGGAACTACACTGTTATTATGGACAGTCAAAAGTAGTTTATATGAAATAAACTAGTTTTAAAGCAATATATATACTTTGAGTATTTCAATATATTATAGTAGATGTTTAAGCAGTGAACGATTGTTTTTGAGGCTGTGAAATGGACTCATTTTTCTCCATCTTCAGGTTGTGTACTTCATGAAGCAGCCGAGAAACTTCCATTGAGATTAAAGTGAACGCTAACAGATCGCTCCCTTCAGGAACTTTAGACCTCATTAGGTAAGATACTGTCTTCTAATAACGTTTCTTACGAAATGAATCACAGACATAAAACATAAAGCCAAAGTTATTTTAATATATGCAGCCATCTAACATTTTAAAGGGATGGTTCACTTAAAAAGCATACATATTGCCATATGACTTTCATATTGATTCTATAAAATTGTTTAAAGGTGACGTATCATGAAAATCGGACTTTTCCAGGTTGTAAGTGCTATAATCAGGTACCCGGTGCATCTACCAACCAAGGAAACGTGAAAAAGATTAACCCAGTAACTTTGTTTTGTTAAGCCTTTTTCTGCAAGCGTCTGAGAAAACGAGCGCATCTGATTTCGCTCCCTTGGTGACGTGGCTCTCATTATAATATCACCGCCCCTTTATCTGCAAGTTTACACCCACGGCGCCATCATTTTGATTTCACAAGTGACAACGGTGTACTAGCTCTAATGCCATGGCGAAAGTTTGAGCAAAACATGCTAACTGTTCTGTGTTTGGCTGCACAGACGAGCACAGAACACTGTTTAGAGTCCCAGCCTCAGAGGAGACAACAGAGCAGTGCATTTATTTATTTATTTACTGTAT